TTGAGAACAAAACGGCGCAAACGTTCTGACAACAGTGCGCAAACTTTAGAACATGAGCGCACACTTCAGGATAATAATGCACAATTCGACAATGTATGATCTACGCAAATCACGCACACTTGAAGACAATAGTGTACACTTTGAAACGCAACACAACCTTTTAGAATCAAAGTCAGGCACAATTAAAACACGGTGTCGAACAACAGTACGCAAACTTTAGAACACACATGACAACCAGTTCACCATTTCGAACAACAGAGCATAACATACGACATCAACGCATATTTAAAAGCAACAGAACACAACATAAACAACACTACGCATACACAGACAACTATTGACAATAGTTTAGAACATCACGTATGTTTCAGGAGAATATACCATTTTATGTTCAACGCACCATTAGTTTTAGGTCACCATGCAGATGGTAAAGTACGAATGCGTTTTGTTGGTCCGATCTGCCTCGCGACAACATTTGCTTCCAACATCTTTCCTGGGTTCAGAAGGCGCACAGCTGCCCGGCAAGACCTCGGCGCTGGGCTGGGCACAATGGAAGAAGACGAACAAAAAACTCACGCACCAGCGCCTGACCGCCTGGCAAGCCCGAGGCCCCAGGGCAGCGCGAAAGCAAGAGCCACAAATCCACATCCCGACGGCCTCTGTCGGCTCGAGATCGCGGCGACGGCCGAAGCGACCGTGCATCGACAAAACGCTGGTCACTTCAAGTCAAGGCTTCTCGGAGCCAGGGACTCCGAGGATGTCTCAGGCGAAACGGGTCTGAGCACATCGCGGACTACGTCTTGGGATCAAGATTCGTGAGGACATCTCAAGCGAAACGGGCCAAAGCACCTCAATTCCGGGCATCCTGTAGCCCGGGGTTCGGAAGATGTCTCAGGCGAAACGGGCCTGAGTGCCTTGCGAACCACATATCGGACCCACTGCCCCGCGGCGATGCTCGAGAAACTCCCTCGCGGCCAGCCTGTAGGCTGCGAGGGACTTTCTCGAAATGGCCTCCACCTCCCCCTCCACCTCCCCCCATATCCTCAACTAGAACCGCGCGCGTGCCATGGCGTTGTTAGCTATGCGTGCTTTTCGGACAGGCTCATTCCATGCCTTAATCGAAAGTGAGCCTGGTAGGTCAAATAGCATCCGTTTCCATGGGAGGCGGATGAACTCACATTGCATCAAATTCCATGTCGAAGGAATACGATATGGGGAGTGGATGGGTAAGATAGGATAAGATCGATGTATCGGTCTTTCCAACACATAGCGAACACTAAGGTAAGTGTCCGGGCAAATAGGGCGCGCGTGCCTTGAGCCAAAGGCAACGGCGCGCGAGCTATACTCCCGATTCTATATAACATCTCCCAAAGAACTACCCTTAAAGTCGGGAGGGGAGGAGACGGAGAGTATAGCCGCGCAGCCGCTAGGCTCTACAAAGGCCGCGCGCGCAACTGTTTGCAAGAAAACAGTGCGTACAGACTGGCCTAACACCAGACTGTAAGGCGAGTTTCCTCGCAAGGCATTTCACGCAAATGCAAGACAGCCCCTTTAATGGTAAAGGGCTATCGGCCCGGCTAGAGGTAAGCCAAACGGGCCATACCTCACCGAGCAAACGGGTATTAAGGCAAAGAGCCTGAATCACATAAAGCCGGCTCGTTGCCAGGCGTGAAATGTAAGGCTCGTTTCCGAGCACCTAGAAGGGCGCCTCTGTAGTAGGCGCCCATGCTGGCAAATTGGACCACGGGGGCAACAAGGACGGACTAAAATTGTTTAGACTTAGGCTTGTTTGTGTCCTCGGGACCCCGAAAGGGAACAAACTGCTTCACGTCATACT